AGATTTTTGATCATTAATCACACTTGAAGGAAAATAAAGCCAATATGCAACGTTCCCACCAATTTCAAAAGTTTAAAGTGGGAAATGCACTGTCTCATTTAGCAGCTCGGTTTTTGCTGCCCGCGCTGTGAAAGGGGCGACTGAAAGCAGCAGCCTGCCTAATAGCTGGTACCGCCCAGGGGGAGCGCGGGCTGTCTGGGAATGTATCCCTGCCTGGCACTCAGACAGCGAGGATGGGATATGTCAGTTTGATACCCATCAGCAGGATAACCTAACTGCCACTTTAACATGACAAGGTCGTAGCCAGGCACTGCGATGCAGTAAGAAAAATGGCCCATTAAAGCCTGAGAAGAACTGGAAGAGAAACATAAGGCTGGCTGTGAGAGGTTCAAGTCCTGTTTATTTTAGGGGAAGACGCGGATATTCAGAGCTCCTTTGCAGGGCCCATCTCAGAGGTAGCTACTGAAAGAAAAGCAGGAGGATGGCGAGCAGCACAAGAAGAGGTTGTGCTGATGTTTTGCCACTCGTCCTCCAGACTCGCTGCCCCTCAAACCCAGAACAGGGATTTGTCCCAAATGGGCTGGCTAACCTGGGGAGGAACCCCGTCGTAAAGCTTTCTGCGAGGACAAACACAGCAGGGGGACAGAAAAGGGCACTTTGCCTTCCTTTTTTTTTTTTTTTTTTTTTTCCCCAGAAGTAATATCAAGAAATTACGTTCTCTATAAATAAAAGTTAGCATGGAATTATTCTGCGGACTAACTTCAGACACCGGCCCAATCAGTCTCCTATTTAAAAGGGACACAGTGCTGTTTTCCTGAGCTGATAGGGGGTGCCAGGTGAGGTCCCTTTTAAGAGCTGTAGAAACGGTTTCAGACAGAACTGGATAATATTATGCTTGGAATGATAATATTGTGTTTGGAAAAGGTCAATATTTTATTTAATCAGCCAGACAGAGAGTGGGTGGCAATTTCAATGCATTTTCTTGAGACAGGAATTCAGGGAGTCCGAGCGGAAATCAGTTTCTGTTTTTTCCTTGGGCTGCTGGTGTCCTCCCCAGGTAGGGATTTGTGTCCAGGGCCTGGAGGGAACGGGGCTGGGTACGTGCCCGGTGCCTCTCTGCAGGGAATGCCACCGGAGAGCGCGTGGCTTCACCTGGCACCTGGTTTGTAAGCCAGCTCCAGGAACTGATGGGTCAGAGAATTACGAGGGCACCACCCGGACAGCTTTTGGGGGAGTTGGCACCCTCCCGTCTCTCCACGTAACACTTCTCCTTCCAACATCACCTTCAGCACCCGACACCCCTTCCTGCTGGGGGTGCCTGCTACCAACATGCGTGTGCTGGGGCAAACGAGATCTGTGAATTGTTACAGGAGCCAGCGACACCCGCCCTCTGCACCAGGACCTTTTTGGCCTCCAGGACAGAAATGGGATTTTATTCCCCGAGACAGAGGCAAGTCCTAATCTAGAGAGAACATTGATTAAAAGAGCCAATGAATAACGAGAGAAATGAGCTCATAAATGCAGCGAGCACTTCATTTCTTGAGGTCAGAAAACTTGACCATTACCTGTCTGCTCACATTTTCTTGATTAGACATCTTCCCAGCAAAAAGCCCTCGCGGCCGACCGCTTCCAAAAGCCACCTGCCAGAAGCTGCTTCCCTCCTGACCGCACGGCTCAAGCCGTGGGCGCCCGGCTTTCAGAGTGCTTGCTCAGAAAATTCGGAAATCTCCGCAGAAAATTTTCCTGAGGTAAACCAAAATGGCTAATAGATCCTAAAAAACTCACCGCTGTTATCTTTAGTAATTCCAGATTCTAAAAAAAAAATCACCTTTGTTATCCTTAGTAATTCCAGTTGCTCGCCACCAAAATGAAAATGGATTTTTCCCCTTGGAGCTCCGTTCAGAACACTACCAAAAACCCCACACTTTTTCTTTTTTCATTACAAGCTTTGAAAAAGCAGCCACAGCCCTCCTTGTCGTTAAACACTCCGAGTGCAGTTCTGAGGAAAATCTGGGGACACCCAGCTCTGAGCACTGATTGCCAGGGGTTTTTTAATCTTGTGCCAAAAGGAACATTGAGATTTGAAGATGGCTCCCTACACAACCTTGCCAAATAGCATTTCTGTTTATGTCTTCAAAACTACCACCAAGGGTTCACAGACAAAGAAATGTCCGCAATGTGTCCAGATGCTGGAAATGAAATGAATTGGAGCCACTGAAGAGGGTTTAATGAAGTAAAGTGCTTTTTTAACTGCCAGCCCAAAGTAAATAACCACCGATCTGAGCATAGTTAAGAGATTTTACCTTACCAGATCATCTGAACGTGCCATCAAGGAAACCCTTGCTTTGTGGAAACAGCACAGCAGCAGCTTAACACTCTGAGACTTGGCTCTCGCCTCCTCAACACCCCAAACCTCTCGGGATTGAGAGAGAGCAAAGCGAGCCCTGCAAAGGCAACAAAACTCCCGCGTGCTTGTCAGTCTGTGCTGCCGGGTCACCGGGGTCAATTGGTCCTGCTCTGACTGAAGGAAGGAAGGGATGAAGTCAATGAAGTCATTAGCCACAGGCTGCAGCCGTTTCCCCACGTTTGCCCCTGGCACCTGCTCTGAGCGGGCTGGACACCGCCCAGGGCCCGGCTGCTGCAAACAGCGACAGCTGGAAGGCGAATGCTGCGGGCTTTGCACAGCAACCCGGGATCATCCTCGATTGCACGCTCACACACAGTTCTTCGAGGGCTATTTTGCTGCTTTGAATGTTTGGCATTGTGCTGTGGATTGTGCTGAAGTTTAGAAAATTCCGAAGGGGGCTCTGAGGCTTGGGATGAGTTTGCGGTGTCTCGGGTTTCTCCAAAGACGTCTCCTCGCCACATCCTCCCATTGCAGGCTCCCTAAATATCATCCCTCGTATTTCAGATGTGTGTTTTTATAATACAAAAGGAATTTGTAAGGCTGCTTTTTTGGGTTGTTTTTTAAAGATAAGGAATCTATTTTAAAGCAATAAAATAATGATTTCTAGGGTTGGGATAAGCAATGGACTAAAGCAAGATAATATACTCTGTTGTACCACTGCCTGCTTTGCTACAGCCAAGGCTGTCAATTTGTCCATATATTCATCATTCACAGTTGTTTATCCCCCTTCCCTAATTCAGACGTGCAGCCTGTTGGTTAGATGAAAGCTGAGATTAAATGCAAAAGCAATAATCTGGCTGACGTTTGGTGGGACGCGACTTCAGCTTGACTGATCCCTCCCTTCCCAGGGGCTCGCTGCTGCGCTCTCCCTTCTGCCAGGAGCACAGCGCCAGTCAGTGTGGTTTCTAAATCGTGTTTTGGTTCAAATCATAAAAAGAGAACTTTACAATAACTTACACGGGCTGCACTACTTGGTGAAAGCACTAAGAGCATACCTCACTCTTCTCAAAGCACAAGCAATTCAACAAGAGGCCTCAAAAACACACCAAAAAAAGGTATAAGCTGCTTGGACTGATGCACAGTAAGTGCACCATTCCAAGTAACATAAACTATATGGTTTGGGTTCTTTTTGCAATAACTTATTCTACAGCTCTAAGTGTTAAAAGTTTGAGGTTTCCACCTTCCTGAAAGCCTCCCAGGACGTGCAAGGACCGGGTGTCCACTGGCCATCCCGGGGACTTGCCTCCAGGCCCAGCAGCTATTCCTGCTCCACTCGGCCAGGGCACTGGGCACACTACATGGAAACAGCTCCTGAGGTGAAAAGGGGCATTCTTCCTTTGCTGGAAAATAAACAGGAGATTATTTTTTGACCCCTCGTTTGCCCTCGGAGCCTTCTGTCTGTATAACCAGTGCCGCTTGTTCTTGTACTTTTCACCACGGAGGATGCACAAGGAAACGACCAGGTGAGCACCAACAATAAAACACAGCAGTGGGAACCGATCCAGCCGTGCTTGGGGTTTTCTCCTAGGCAGGTGGGAAAAAAGATGATTTTCTGGCAGATTTGGCCTTGCAGCATCGCTGTCCTAAGTCACTTAAAAAGACTGCAGACAGCAGCATTTGCAACTTTACCTCACAAACAGTAACAGTAGGATTCACTGATATGCATTTGAGCCATTTATTTCCCAGTTTTCATGCAATCTGGTTCAATTATGAATTTGACTGCTTTGTTTTTTTGCAGAATATAAAATCCTTTTCCTTGCACCATATAATTGTGTTCCATCGCAGAACTGGTATTCATCATTGCCCTGCTGTCCCCTAGCCTAAAAGATAAACCATCCACCGGGTAATAAATGTCAAACTATGATTATTGATGCTTTCAATTAAATTGATTATCTATTTGAGGTGCATAGCATGGTGATTTATTGCTGTCTCCTTACGTTGCACTTGGCACAATGGCTTCCCTGAAAGGTGAATATTTTGATTGTTTCAATAGATTTTCTATTAATCTGATTTTTTAAAAGGGACTCACAACCATCCGAGTGCCTGCTTAACTGCAATGGCACCTCATCGAGTCTGAAATATGCCACCTGTTTGGCTAGCTGCTGCAGCGCGGAGGTTAGGATCCAATATATGAAAATATAAAATGAAAAGTTTTTTTAGGTGTTAATGGAAAGACAGAATGCATCCTTGACTTACATCCCTCATTCAGAAACATTTATTTTTTATGGACTATATCAGCCAAAAAGTGTGTATAATGTTGAGCTTTGTTGACTACTTACTACACACCTCGACAGAGGGATGAGATGACCTTCGACTCGTCACTGGCATTGTGTTTTTATTAGTTTCAGATAAGAGGAGCTATAAAATTCAAAGACATTTGCTCACCAATAATAATCAGCAGCTGCTTCACAAACAAGGCTTCTGTTAGCTGTGTCATGGTTAAGGTGACACAAGTTGACCTCTATCTGATAATTTACTTGAAGAAACGCCTCAGACGTGGCAGGACGGCCTCGTACCAGCTTCCGCTGCTGCTGCTCCCCACAGCACAGCACAGTTTGCTCCAACCTGTTTCAGAAAGCAAATCTGCCTCAAAAACGCCTCTCATCCACTCACCGAGGCATGCAGGAAATAAGCATGAGAAAATTGTAACGCTCCCAATCTGCTGGTTTTGCCAGCTATGAAGAAAACCATGTGAAAACATTTTCAGGCAGGTCGACTCAGAGAATCTCCAAACCAAAACTCATCATTTCCATGGGGGGAGGGGGGGAAATCCAGTACTGATAAGCCATTGACTTCAAATTTGAAACAGGGACAATTTTGTCTCCATTATTGCCCACATCTGCTATTTCCAAGGAATGGGAAAGCACCACGTCAGATAACCCTGTGACTAAACTTCCTGGTGCTGCGCTCCCCTGACCAAGTTTCCCACCATTTATTATCGGCAGCACCCAGGAAAAGGCCCGAAGCCCCGTCGTGCTCGCTGCTGCATAAAGCACAGCGATGAGTCTGCCTAACAGACCTCGATAATCAGTAAACACAGCAGATAAACGGTGAGAAAAGACAAAGAGGAAGATTGCTATCCCCATGTTACAGACAGGACTGAGACACGAAATTAGGTGACGTGCCAAAACCACACAGTCTCTGGCATTCAGAAATTGAGTCTCCGGCTCCTCAGAGCTAATCTCAACAATAAGGCTGTCAGTCCTGCTCAGATGCAAACACCTTTGACCCCGGTAAGCTCAGAATTATACACACATCAATTCAGACTTTGAAGCCTGGCTTATCTCTCGCTGGTGTAACTGTCCCCTCCGCTGTAACTAACCGGGCTGGCGGAGGGGAAACACTACCAAGGAAGAAGAAAAGAAAAACAAAACCCCGCAGCTCGGGCAGAAATCGCTGTCTGGCGTTTGCTGTGGGCTCCCTCCATCGTGGCAGAGCCCAGAGGGCTTCACAGCTTGTGCGTGGGGGAATGCATTAATTGCTACCTGGCCAGCGTAAGGAGCTAACTGGGGAATCCAACAGCACAAAGCGACTCTGCAGACGAGGTAAGGGCAAGCATTACGGAAACACCTCCACTTGATAACACCAGCTGCACACGAAAAGGCAAATGTACTAACCCAAGCTTAAATTTGGCCATCAAAGCAGAGAGAAGGCCCTCTGAGCAGCTACGAATCAGCAGCACATCCTAGGACCAGTTCCTGTCATATCCCTGTTTGAAAAGCCAACTCCAAGAGCTCAGGCTCCCAGAACAGGAGCTCAGCTGCAGGTGAGGCTCCAGGGGAGTCACCCAGAGCATCCTGCTGCTGGGCCACGCGGGTCCCCACCGCCAGCAGCAGCCGGTGCTGGCTCACGGAGCCACACGGCTCATGGAAAAGAACACGAGAAAAGCCACAAGCAGCTGGGAAGTACGATGAGTTCCTAAAGCTCCAGACCAAGGGCAATTTGCTTTGAACATCAAGGCTGTTTCCCCAAATACAAATACAGGCACTGTGAGCTCGATGCAGCCAGCCCCTGCCCCTGCAGCAGAGGTTAGGGAAGGTGAGACGTGGTGTCCCAGGGATCTCCGTGCGGCCACGCACAGCTCTAACGACAGCTACACCTTGCAGACAGCACAAGGGTGGTTTTAGGGCTTGAAGGCTGATCCTAAAGGCCTGGAAAAAAGAAAAAGACTACAAAAAACTGAAAAAGTAGGAAACCTCAGGACGGAGGGCAGCGACCTCCCCCCTCAGGGCACATCACAAGCTCTCGGATGCACAGAAACAAATTCCGCGTAACCTCTGCGGCGAGGGCACGGCACGGGTGCGAGGAGCGATTGGCAGAATGCGCCCTTTGTGGGGCGGCAGCAGGAAGGTGTTTGCATATGTAAAGGCCCTGGAGTGCTTCCAGGTGCACGGCACTGAGCAGGGAGTGCGGGTAAGGAGGAACACGGCGTTCGGGCTCGTGCTGCCACCGGGCCGGCTGCTGGCACGGGCTGTGAGCCCATGGGGAAGCGTGTCCCGCATCGCTCCTTGCTTCACTCTGGGCACTTTCCTTCCACTGGCCAATAAAGAGGCAAAAACCAAGCAAAAAATAACCAGACTCCTTCACCCCAAGAAGGTTTTGATGCATGAGAACTGCCCTTCAGCACTGATGGCCCACAAACGCTCCCCTCGCCGAGGTGATGCACGCATGGGGTCACAGCGAGCCGTACAGCTCCGGGACCCGTCCCCCACGTCGCTCTCTGCATTCCTCAGATAGCAGGGTAATGACGGGGGGGGTCACGAAAAGGGAAGAACTCGAGCATTTCTTGCTGCTTCCCTTTCAAATTTCTTCTGAAAAATATTTTTCAAATTGCATGGAGCAAAGTTCAGCCCCAGAAAAGGCAAAGGGAAGGAAAACTGCAAGGGAGACAACTGTGGTTACTTGCTCATTGAGCTCAGACTGTGGCTCACAGATCTGTCCACCAACCTCAACAAGAACTTCCTGAATGACCCAGAAGTTTGAATCACTCTCTCTTTCCCTGTCCTTCCTGCATGCGATGCTAGGATGTGCCTCTTCCAAAGCAACTCCGGGGCTTGCTGATGGTTCAGTTCCACGCAAGAAGTGCTGGAGCTGCTCTGGCCATGAGCGTTGTGAGAGGGCAGCCTCAGAAAGGAAACGTGCATTTGGCCTTCCGTTCTGTAAGCCCAACCTGCAATCCAAACTAAAGTGCTGCTTCTCCCCCCTTTCCTCGTATCAGCCAAGAGAAGAACTGTTTTGGTATCGGATCACAAAGTGCCTGCGGAGATTCCCATCAGTGAAGAAGCTGCAACGTGACCCAAAAGCTCAGCGTCTGCATTCCTGGAGAAAAAAACCATCACAGTCCTGCTCCAGTTATCTCACCAAAGGCAAGGTCCTCTTTTTTTATTTTTTTTTTCCTCTTTTTTTTTTTTTTACAGGGACACATTGAGAATGTTAGGGCGTTATCGTGGCAGCTGTACGCAGCTATCAGCAATAACCGTGATGGCTGGACTGGCCTGTGCCGCAGGAACCGAGCAGGCATCTGCTCTGTTTAACGCACAGGAAGCGCAGGGCAGGTTTTAAGAAGTATGCAGAGGATGTAATGGAGCCTCTAATGTGTTTAGGTTTCTCCAGCGGAATCTAGCTTTATCAGAAAACAAAGGTCCTGGTGGGATTATCAGCAGAAAGAAACCCAGAACCTGTCTGGTTAGGAAAGGGGCTATGGAGATTGTTATGTCAAGGTGCAATAGCTTCCTCCCAGGCCAGCTAAAAGCTACTTCTGTAATTGGTTCCCTCCACAGAATTAACGGGAAATCTGTGCCCACACGCAAGATTTTTAGCACAAATAAATCAGTTCTTGTCTCACGCTGGTTCCTTGCAGAAAGGAAAGAGAAATTAAGATGTCTCTGAGGTTGACATTCCTCTCCAAGAGCTAGCAGTATCTTAGCAAAATAAAATTTCATTTTTAAGCTGCTTAATAGGAAGCACACCAAGAGATACCTCCGCGTGCTGCAATGCCTTGCCCATCGTGATGAATCGAGTACCGCGTGTCTGCAGGTTACAGGCACCTTGCACCTCCAGCAGCCCAGCTCCACCTCCAGCCGAGCACCCAACAGCGCTGCTGGTGGGAGCAGCCGGGGGAAGGAGGAACCAAAGGCATAAGAAACTTTTTCAGAGGCAGGTAAGAAGATTGCAATTTAGGAGGCAGCAATTACTTGGAAACATGATCCTTGACTTTTTTTTCCTTACGTGATTAACAAAACAATTTGGGTAATTATTTAAAGTAAAGTACCAGCCCCGATAACATAAAAATGGGCCCTGTCAGGCTGTTAGTCCCAGCTGAAGGCAGCCGTCCAACAGGGCAATGCCAAGGTGAAGCTGAGATCACAGCTGGTGCCTTCCCAATCTCTCAGAGGTCAGCGTGGAGGACCCAGACCTGACTTTTTTTCAGCTCACCTGTATGAGCTTCACAAAACCCAGGTTTACATCCCGGTTAATGTACTGAGACACACCCACAACAGTGTTTGGATTCAAGGGCCCTTGGTGAGACCATGCAATAAGCACAGCACGGGTGTTTTAAACAGGACACCGTGACGATGTGGACAGCCCAGCAGCACACAAGGTGCCTTTTGCCCCCGCACTTCTGCAGAACCGACCCGTGCTTGGCCCCATCACCCTCCGGTGGCTCCCGGGGTCGCCGCCCTCACGGAGCAAGAAGCATCGCGTGCACGTTACCCTGACACCAGCACCGTGTGCCAGTAACAGCACTACCCTTAGCAAGCAGCTCCTGCTGCTCCTGGTGATGCTGTTTGCTACGGACGGGAAGGGGCAGCTCGTCCACAGCCTGAGCCTTGGCCACCCAGGCCAGCGCCAGCCCTGCTCCTTCCAATGCCCCTGCGGCATCCCGGGGCTGGCACCAGCTGCTCCCCCAAAAGTCACCGAGCACTGCTCGGCCCCCCCAGGACGATTTACAGGCACTGCCTTCAGATGAGAGCAGAGATGAGCCCATACCCCGTGTCCCCCTCCCCTCTCCCCTGGGCCCGACCGTCCCTCACCTCCCCCACCAGCACCAGCTAAAAAAGGGAAAGAATGAGAAAGTGAGTACTCTGTAGCTGGCACTGCAGACAATGTATGTCTTGTGTGAGTAATTTAGCACTATGGCCAGTCAATCTGGTTTCTGGGCCCAATGCCCTGACCCTCTTTAGAGCTGCTCTCTCTCTCCAGCACAGTGTGAAACATTTCCTTTCACAGCACTGACACTTTGCAGATTGAGACGTCAGGCCTGTCCAACTGCAGCAAATTAGCAATTTTTCTTTTACTAATTGGAAATAAAAATGTTTGCTAAGGGAATAATTTGTAGGAATGCAGTGTTAGGTTTCCGGCTTTTTATAAGGATGCTTTAAACTTTATACATGTGCACTTTTCTTCTGTTTTGATGCCTTGCACTGTAAATTTTAATAGGTTACTCGACTGTTAACTTTACAGTCTCGGCCGTCCAAAGGATTAAATGAAGTTTTTAATTTATCTTCCTCTCCACGGCAGCAGGATCTTCCTAAGCGGAGCCTCGCTCAGCCTGCCCGCTGCTCGCTGAGCCAGGAGAAGGAGCACGGCTCCGGAGAGGTGCAAGCACGCCCGGCTCTGCGGCACCCCGCTGGACGTGGGCAGGCAGTCTGTGTGCGAGGCCCTCGGTGTCAGGCCCTCCCAAGCCCCCTGGGAGCTGACGGAGGGAGGTGGGCAGCAGCTTCACGGGGGCTTTCCCTCCCCAGGCTGTGACAAACGGGTGGTTCCCTACCTGGCAATCTGCACAGCTGCCCGGCCGCTGCGCTCGCAGCAAACACAGCCAAAAACCAGCTCCTGGCTGGTAGGGAAGGGGCAGGAGGCTCCTTGCTGCCAAGGTCCTGCTCCTCTGCTCGAGTGCAGTTGGTGAGGAAACACCAAAGGCTGGGAAGGGTTTGGTGGGGACAGCGCCTGGATGTTGGACTCCATTCAAAAGCAAACGCAGACCCGGGACATTTTGATCTATTTGTTCCTGGAGATCGCTCTGCTTTTAAGAAATGGCACGTGAAGGGCAGGGGCAGTCAGTAAAGGCTTCCTCAAATAAAATAAAGTTCGAGAAAGTGGGATTGAGAAAGAGCCTCCTATAACCTAGGAAAACCTGCTGAAACCCAGAAATGAGAAGGAAATGCCCTTTTGCTGAAATACAATACGTTAGTTTAATATTTCTCCCTAATTCTTAAGGCATGTAATGTCTTCCTGCAAGCCGCTCTCAGGCAGGAGTACATTAGCTCTCCCCACAATGCCAGCACATAAAGAGTTACTGTTCTTTCCCCCCAAACCACCCCCACCCCCCCATAAAGCATTTGACAGCCATGCCTAATAATTCTTTCTGGTGTGGTTTTTCTTTTTCTTGATGTCTTTATGTGAATATGAAGCCAGAGTGAAAGGCTTTGGGTGACCCCCGTGAGAGAGAAAAAGTATGAACTACAGAGAAAGCGAGTGAGATATAGGCTCCCTGCGGAGACATAGGCATCTTCTCTGGCAGCTCACCACTTGGCTTCAGAGGGCCTTTGTGAAGGAAAAAGGACTCTTCTTCACTCAGCCTGCGACAATAGGTGTTTTGTCAGAGAGGGACAGGATAAAAAGCAGGGGGTGGGAGGCGAGATCATCATCGGCAAGGGGCTAGCCTTTGGGGCCTGCAGATGTTGGAAGGAGGATGATTTATTGCTCCAGTGTCCTCGGTGGCATTTGGCTACCTTCCCAGAGCCCGGCCGCGGTGGCGGGGCGGGAGGAGGGAGCGCGGCACCGCTGGCCCCATCCCCTCCTCGGGCAGGGCACCGGGGCCGGGGGCCGGGCAGGGAGCCCCCATGGGGACGGGGCCATGGGGCAGGGCAGGCCTGGCGGAGCCGTGTTCCCCCAAGCCCTGCCGGCCACAGGCACGGCCTGCTAAAGCCTCGGCCACAGAAAGGCCCGGCAAAAAAAAAAAAAAAAAGAGGTGCGAGGGTTACTTACAAATTACTGGCACCGCGAATCGAAAAGCGTGACGGCTTCGTGCTCAGAATAACCGGCCCCGGCTAAGCCATCTTCATCCAAAACCTAAAACTGAGAAGCCCGGGGGTGGTTTTTGTGCACAGGACAAAAAACTTCCTTCCTCCAGCTCCTGTTACCAGCTGGGATAACACAGGCTATTTGTGCACGGCCCTCTCCTTGCCGGGCGATGAGGACGGAGGCAGCGGGGCCGAGGCGCGAGCCCCACTGCAGGACACGGGCAGCCTGGGGCTGGTGGGCAGGGAGGGAGGGACCGGGTGCCTGGGGCTCGGTCAGAGGCTGTGGAAAGGCTCGGGAGGAAATCAGCAGAGAGGAGGAACCCGAAGTTTGGATCCCGCTCCGTGCCCAAAGGAAAATCTCCGAGCCTTTTGAAGTTTGCCCACTGCTCCGTACATCCAGCATATTGAAAAGTATCCCCGATCGCCGAGCCAGGAACTGCTGGAGAATTTCCAAGAAAAAGGAATCACAGCCTAACAAGAAATACACACCAGGACAGTACATTGCCAGGAGTTTGATTTAGGACTTTTGCTCCAGCTCCTTTCCTCTTTTAATATACAGTTTTCCACCACACTTTCTATATAAATACTGTATCCTATGGCTGACAGCCTCTTTTAGGAGATTTATCCGTTGGTGGATTTACTAAAAATGTTTTCTGTTGAAACAAGGGCATATGCTTCACCTCAGCAAAAGGCACATCCAGAGACAGGATTAAAACACAAAAGCAGTAAATCCCAGACAAGATAGATGCAAAGAAATAGTCTTTGAGTCATTTTGTACAGAAATAGCTAGGTAGGAAAGCCGGAAGACCAAATACAAAAGTGGAAAGCGACTGAAAAGGGCGCTGAAGAAAAAACATGCAACATTCCCTAGATAAATTCCACAACAACAACGCTTTACAAAACCCCACTGCTGAAAAGCCTGCCATTAGTTTCAATGGCCAAGCCCCAATAGCACCTACTAGGAGGGAAAATCTCAAAACGCATTATTGAGTTCCAGACACACTTTTCTGCATGTACTCAAAACTGTTATATCCATTTACAGAAGGAAGTGAAGCATTCAAAGTATAAGTGACATGTCCAAGGTCACACAAAGAGTCAACGGCAGAGTCAACAGAAGAGTAACTAGATCTTTGCTTAAAATCCCTTGGCTTTGACTGCTAGACAATGGCTCCCCCTCCCACGTAATCAACCAGTTATGGAAAGGCATAAATGCATATTTGCAGGACGAAATATGTTCACTTGAGAATAAAAATGTTTGGATGATTATCTATAGATTATGTGACATTATCCAGACCTCTCTGGTTTGGAAGTTGGATAGAAATTTGATGAATTACAAGCAAGACACAAACATTATAAGAGAAGCTTTGCTCTGACTATTTCTCTTGGTCTCTGCAAAAAAAGTAAGAATTGCAGAAATATACCAAAAAATACAATATCCACATCTCTGAGCTCTCCAAAACCTCCCAAGTTATTATTCTTATTCCTGATATTAGTTTGTTTATCACCATTGGCATTTCATATCCTTCTACTCATCTTGCCACAACTGCGGTTTTACAAAGCAAGCCAGCGACCACAAAGTTTGAGCAAAAAAATCGATCCAAAAGGCAAAAGAAATGATCTTCTGGCCTTTCACAGGCTGTCAGGTCACAAATGCCTCACATTTTCTGACAAAATTATCACTACGACACTATGAGTAAGCCCTACAGAGTTTGCACATCTTAGGAGGAGCTGGAACTAAACCAGTCGGAGCTGCCTTTGTGCTCGTTTCCATTTTCTGGGACTGTTTTGCCAGCGTCCACACGTGTACGCGGATTCTCCTTCCTTGGGAGCAGCAAACCCCGTGTGCTGCGCGGTGCCGAGCGCTCCGGCTGCTGACGGACGTCATGGTACTGGAAGTGGAATATCTGTCAAACGCTGCTGTAAGGGAACGCGCTGCTAAAAGCTGGCTTTGTGCATTTTTTTATATTTTTTTTTTTAGGAAGCAGTGTTTGGACGACAGACGTGGATAATACTGCATCTTTAATGCCTCGCAACAAATCGCCACATCAGCACTAAATACCTCCACTTAATTTTTCATTTGGATACGATGAAACATTTTTTCCCATGGAAGGAAAAGTCTGGTCTTTGTGATCGTGGCACTGCCAGCCCAAGTTACAGTAAAGGTTAATCACAAACAAGAGACAAGTAAAGTAGACAAAGAGCATCATACACTTCACTTTTCAATGGATGTTTTCATAAATGTATGAATAATTTAAATTATCATTGCCGAGTATTTATTCGAGTGTTTCAGGGGAAAAAAATGCCTCCTCTTTTTTTTTTTTCCCCTCCTTGATTCTTTTCATTTCTGTCTCATCTCTTTTATGTGCTGCATCGGCTGTTTTCTTGCCATCTGAATCAGTTTTTTGGAACAATGGGATGTATGAGGGCTGAGGGGGCAGTTGAAGAATACAGCCCTTGTTGTACACTCTGTGACTTGACATTGATTAATGAGGGTGCGGACATGGGCAGAATTTGATAGAGAGAGAAGGGGAAATTGGAGGACCTGAGGGCACCAGAAGGAGGAGGGCAAGGAGATGACAGAGCGCGCCACAGCGATGCCAGTGACTGCGCAGCATATGGGAACAGCGAGCGGCGGAAATCGCCCTGCACAGGGCCAGCTGCCCGAAATGCAGCCGTGATCGCCACCCAGGCTCCCGACAGCACGAGGAAAACCCAGGAGCACCTCCGAGAGCGTCACAGCGCTCTCGTGGTTTCTCCTGCAGGTCAAGGCTTGCTGTGTCAATACGGCTCGTCCCTTCCCACGAACGCTTGCCCCCAAAAAAGCTTGCAGAAAAAGCTTTATTGTTTCCTCCACTCTTGCACACATACCTCAGCCTCCACCCTGTTGGTTTACTTTCAAAACCTACGAACCCTGAGGTTTGTAACCTCTTCGGCAGGAGTCTGCAACGCGTCTGTCTGTCCTTAGAAAGGAGGCGCAGACCAAGCTCCGGGGTGGTAGGGGAGGGCTGGGCTGGTCCCGCTTGGAGAGATGAGAGATTGCCAAGCTTTATACTAATCCCTGTGATGCTCGTTTGGTTCCTCTGAAGGGGCTCACCAAACGAGGTGATCACAAACACTTCGGCCACCACGTGAGAAGCTGCTGGTACAGCAGGGAAAAGCAGCAGTTTGTACAGCACCAAAGACACGTGGGACCCACAGTACCTTGGGATTACTGCTATTAAATACACCGAGAGCAACACCTGGCAAGTCAGAAATCTTTATAGAAACCACTTTTGATGAACCCTGGAAACAAAGCTGTAGTTTCAATAATTTCAGTCAATATGAGAGGGGTGGGGTCTCCCCAAAGCAGCAGCAGCCCAGCTCTCAGAGCCAAATTCAAGTTGTTTTGCCGTTCTCCACTATCCCAGATAAATTCAGTACCTGCCAGACTAGGGACTGTGAGCTAATCCAGCTCAGCCCCTCATTCAGGGCTGTTCTCTCTTGCTCAAAACACGAGATGTTCACTGAGGGAGATGCTGTCCCCACGCCCTACATGATCGCCCTCGCCCCCAGCCTGGCAGCCACACGAAGCTTTGCATCAAGGACAGCACCGAGGGCTTTGCTGCTGTGTCCGTACAGGCACACGGAGCTTCACAGACACGTGAGGAGTGTGAGGAGTGTCCTCCCTCTCCCTCACCGCCGTGACCACCACCAGCCGGCCACCAGCTTAACGCCTCTCCCCGAGAATAACCCAAAAACGCGGCAGGCAGACATCAGCCGCCCTCTGGCTGCTGCATGCACGCGACCTGCCTGGGCAGCGGGGTTTGTGCAAGGCCACAAGCAGC